CTTATTAATCATTTATAAGCTGTTATAACACATTAGACGAAAATGGCAACAGCGACCTGTTGCTTGACCAAACAGTGAGCCACATTTCTCTGTACTGCGAAGCCTCATATCTCTTTAGTTACTGGGCTTTCTTTGTTTTCTCCATCATCAGCATTTGTATCTGCTGCCTCATCACGTTTGTTAAGTTACTAACAATTAACCACCATCACCATATTAATGGTCAAAAAGTTTCATTTGGCAGATCAAATTATAGCAGATCAAATGATCATATGAAATGACCAGATTCATCTTCTGAGGCCTTGACAGTATTTTTTACATGCTACCAGCAGCCGTCCTCATTATAATCACAGCTGTTGATCAGCTTGTTCTGCACAGTGGAGATTAACATGGAGATGCTTTTTGCTGGTGGGTCTCTTCTTTAGGACTTTAGCATTCCAGGTAGAACACAGGTGGTAACCTTCCTTTACTTGGTGAACTGCTCACCCAGTCTTTGTCCCAATGTTCACGTATCTGTGATCCCCTCCATCCATCTTCACATTCTTCTTCTCATTTTTACAAACATTTATTTATCAGTTATAAACATTTACAACTGGTAAAAGGAGCCTTATTGTAAAGTGTATAACATTTCAGCATTTATTAACGAATTAATATTGTTATTACTGGCAACATTAATAAATGATTATGTGTTTTACACTTTAGAGTAAGACTCCTTTTACCAGTTATGAATGGTAGTAAATCATTAGTAAGATTAATGAGGAGTAAGCATTAACTTGATCTTTCCAAATAGTGAGCCTGCATCAATGTATGAAAACTGTGTTATAACTTGTTTATAATTGTTTATTTATGATTTATAAAGGGTTAACAACTGAATGAATAGCCTAATTATAAACCATTTATAAATCCTGTAGGGTAGTCTCATTGTAAAGTGGTATCCAATATTCACTCTTATGATAATAGATACTGTTGAATGACATTTAAAATATCTTGCTCCATTTATTGCTGGTCATTACCCTTTAAATGATGAATAGGAGAGTTATCTGATATATCTGCCTGGTAACAGTGACAAATTGAGGGAATTGAACCATAATGGAAAACATACAAGTTGAAAGGGCAGAAATCATAGCATTTTAGGAATGCTAGTAGATGATTAACTAGTGTGTACGGGTGTATTCTAACAAAAACATGTAGATAAGTCTTATGGTTCATTATTTGCACACATATAACATTACAAATATATTATTTTTTTATCCACTTCATAAAAAAGAAAAACGATATGCAATGTATTTGTAATCTTTTATGTGAGTGAATAAAATCAAAATGGTTTGCAAAACTCCATGTATCATGGTGTTGCTGATTTAGTGTTTTTGTCAAAATAAGACGTCCTGTTTTTTAAATAGCATCTCGTCTCATTTTGGGTAGGAGCTCTGACACATACACTGTTACTTCACCTGTGAATGTCTGGAGCTGTTTCATTTCCCCAGCCTGTGCTGCACAACAATAACAATAACAACAACAGTCAAGCTTCTTGCACAGCCTTGCCTGGTGTCAGCAGAAGAAGCCACATGCCTCATGTGGTCGACAGTCCCAGCTGTGGCGGGAGGCTCATGGTTGCATCTGATCTCAGTGTACTCGGCTGTGCCGCAGACTCCCAAACCTCACAAAAGGAGGAGACGTGTGTTTGTTTGAGATTGTGTGTGTGTGTGTGTGTGTGTAAGTAGGGTTTACAGAGCTTTTCAAGAGTATAACACAGTTCATCCACCGGTTGGGGCTTGTTGATTTTTAGTCCCAAAGAGCGGGCTGAAAGTGATGTGAAACCATTTTAAACCATATGATAATATTGGAATTTATGGTTGAAAACATTTTTAGTTGCTTTTCTTAAAGTGCCATTCATTCACTCTGCTTCACATTGGTGGCTGTTTGGCTTTTAACCAACTGAACAAAGCCTCCCCTCTCCTTTTTTATTTACCACATCTTCACCATTAAAAATCAAATAGAATAGCAACTGAATGGACACAAACTTCTAAGGCTCCCAGCTGTTGTGGCCCAAAATCCATATCTCTGTTATGTGTGTTGAAAGCAGTTTGTCACACTCTACAACCTCCAACAAGAAAATGCTGATAGCTACCTGTCTGGCTGACAGATTGGGGGAGTGTTCCCTTTGAGCATCAGGTCAGCTATGAACCAACAGACTGAGAGACGGTTGCAGTCAAGCTCCAGCTGTTTGGTTTCAAGACAGCCGACGGCAGATGGGGCCCTACAGTCGAGGGAGCAAGTTCCAGTCCAGCTGGACCACTGGCAGAAAATAAATAAATAAAAAGTTGTTTTTAGATTTTACCCCAAAACATCAAAAGGATTGATGTTGCTTTCTTTTTTCTAACATGCATCTGGACTATGGATCAGTGTTTGCAATTTAATTCAATTTGATTGCCAGTGTTTGGTCACTGAGCCTGGACCTGGTCAGGATCGGCCTCTGCTTTCTGTTTCTGACAGTTAGGAGGTATTCTGCTAATTCATAATCTCTGTTTAGGGACACATAACAGTCCAATCCATTTTGCAGTGTTTCAATAGGTTCCTCTACATTGTGTTATAACGTGGTTTACTCTGATGGCTGTTTGGAAAGCGGTGTTGGCATAAGGGACTCTTTTCTGGGCTCAGCTCTTGGGTTTGGAGGGCTTTGGAATGGAGAGTGTCTGGAGGGCTGGATTTAAGGTGCTTAAAAAATGTGAGTGCTTCCTTTGAATGTTAATCGTCAGTGGGTATCTGCCTGGTTCTGCTCGACAGGCGTTTGTTGGTGTTTTTCTTTGTAAGTGTAAAATGTAGCTGCAGAATATTGCATGTAGAGACTCTGTTGTGTGTTTATCCCAGCGGGTGTAGCTGTGATGACTGAGTGGACCTCATACATCACTACCATACAGAGCAATGAGCAGGAAAACACTCTCAAATATTTAAGCCAGATATTAATTGGAATGTGGAAGTTATAACATTTTTTTAATTGCCATGCTTAAATTTCCTGATTCTGTTATGGTTAAACCAAGGTAGGTGAAACTCATACTGTGTTCAATGATTTGATTATTTATGATAAACTTGTATTTGTTTTCCTGTGTTTTTGAGAAATCCTGATATTAGTTTTCTTCATATTTACTGCAGGGCCCAGTTATGACAGCGTTTTTCTACTAAGTCCAGCTGTTGCTGTCGTCATGGTTCAGTAGGAGACCGTAGAACAAGGTCATCAGCATAAAGCAGAGACTTCACCTCTCTGTGTAGGAGTGAGAGCAGCACACTGCTCCAGCTGAGCAGCAAGTTCATTACACGTTAGATATTGTTGGACTTTAATTGCAACCATGACGAACACAGCTCCTCTGGGTCAAGAATTCATATATTTTGCCCCTATTCCACATTGCAGTCTGTAATAGAGTCCTCCATGTCCTTCATTTTTCTGTTTGAAAAACATGTTTGTTTATTAAAGTGTGAAGGTTATAGACATGGTCGGTAGTGCAGGACTTTGGGAGGAATCCAATTTGATTTTACTCAGGATGGAGTGTTGGTCAAGGAAATCTAATGTTCTTTTATTTAGTATACTACAGAATAATTTACCAAGACAGCTGCTGACAGAGATGCCACAGAAGTTACTCAGGTCTGATTTGCCCCCACTCTTATAAATCTAGAAAATGAGCCCTTTACACCAGTTGTCAGGAAAACATCCAAGCAATACTGAGCAACTTTGTCTCTGCAGCCCCCCAGAGACCCTCTGCGTCTCTGGGGTGGTGCATTTGAGCATTTAATTTTTAATGCTGTCTGGACTGCGGGCTTTTTCTTGGGCAGACAGATTTAATCTGTTTGGTTAACTCTTCCCAAGTAACTGGAAAATCAAGGGAGGGTTTAGTATTTAATGTCTGTCTTTGATTGTTTCTTTTAATGTTTGGAATTTTTCTTTTAAAATATATTGATCTGAATCAATTTGACATATTTTTTAAGTTATTTTTTTGACTCTGAAATATCATATTGATATCATCAGTGGCTTTGTTTGTCATGTATTGATATGTCATTCATCAGATCAGGTGAGTTTTAGGCCATGATTAATTTGTCTCCACTGTGCGGGCCCATCTGTAAGCAGACTTTGATTTATACAGTTTACTTGGCTCCTTTTTGTGTCACTCATTTGACCTGGCAGTTTAAAGAACACATTTATTTGGTCTGAAAAGGGGGATTGTCTGACAGTGAATCATATGTATACTATATAATATTGAAGGATCCATGTCAGCAATTGCATAGTCCGCTACACTAGATCCAAGAGCTGAGGAGTATGTGAATCTCCATAAAAAGAGTCCCCTCTGAACTTAATATTAACTATGTATAGGCCTAAGGCCCCAGAGATGTATTACCTCATTGACACTTTGTTTTATTTCTGAGTAAAGGTTGTTTCGATGGATGATAGTTGGAGTGGTAAACAGGGGAGACTGACCAAACACATTGTTGTCTTGTGGGTCAATGGAAACGGGTGTGTAGCTTGGTTGAACAAGTGCACAGGTTGTGGGGATAAATTCCCGGTGTCTTTCAGCTCAGAGACAGCAGGGGGAGGGGCTAACTATCTGTCTGTCCTGCTTTGACTGTGGGAGGCCACGCGGATTCTTATCTGGTATTTCTATTGGCCAATTCATATTAATCGAGTTCCGGCCCCTTTCAAGCCCTTAAAATACGGAAGTTAGTTCCCTCTAACGATACAGTTTCTCACTTATTATCGATTTTTTTTACAACGGGCGTTGATGTTTTTTAATATTTTTCACCTATAACCAAGGCTACATTGTATATAGCATGGTTTGAAGTTGTACGAGTGTTTACGAATGTGGCAGAGTTTTTTCGCGGAGGGATCCATACGCCGCTGGCTCTGGCGTGGAGCGTGATTTGAATCGTCCTCTGCTGCTCCTTTCTTATCGTTTTTATTTTGTAAGAACATGTATTGCGGCATGGATGACCTTTTTATGACATTATAGTCTGTATATGTTTTTACATATATATATATATTTTTTAACAGTAGAAGCCCCCGTCATTTTCCTTAAATTTACAAGGTAAGTGTTTAACTTGCTGTCACTCGTCAACAGTACTGTTGCTGCTGTGTGCTAACGTCCCGTATGAAGGAACAAGCGTTAAACAATTAGCTTTAGTTTTCCTATTCCTAGCTAGTCAGCGATAGTAACGCCTGTGACAGTCTCTGTGTCTGTAGCTGTGCTCGACCCATTCAGTTCGTTATGCATATTCAACAAATGCATTTGTTATAAACCACATGCGGGACGTTTTGAGTTAACTCACCGTGTTTTCATATGTAAACGAAGGTGTTAAGCTAATTATATTAGCATCCAACTAAAGTCAATACAACATCAACACTCTGGCATGAAGTTTTGTTCATACAAAATGTTCATTCATATTGTTATTCGCTGAACTAGCCTACAAGCTTGACTCGTGTTAGAACAGTAGGCCATATTATGGGAATACAAGTGTCTGACCGGTCCTCTGTTGTCATCCATCTTAAGTTTCACCTAGTAACTGTTGTTTACAATGGAAATGTTCTTGTGGTGCAGCTGCTCTTGAATTATATGATCTACTCTATGCAGATGGCTACCGTAGAGTTGAACACCACTGGCACTGAGCGAGACCAAAAGGAGAAAATGTTGTCCCCCTCTGAAGAGGACTCCCCTGCTGTTTTAAATGGCAACTCAGCCCCCCTGAATTTCTCAGAGCTCACACCTTGTCAGTTTGGCATCTCTGTCCAGAGTTTTACCGCAGTAGGATCATCAAACCGCAGAGGTGAGGGAATTGGCTCTTATTTGGTGCTAAACAGCATATACTATCAGACAGAGTTGTTTGCTTTGTATTGATTCTGCTGTGCGCAGTCACCACTGGAAGAGACAATTAGAAAAGCTATAGAAATACTTGATGGGTTTGTTATAATCTGTAATATAAGGATTCAAACCATTCAAGAAGAAATATGAGCGTATTAAACCACACTACAGCCACAACTACAACTAAAACAGAAACAGATGTACTCTTCAGCATGACTGATTCATAAAATGAGAGTATGTTTATATTCCCTGTATATTGCAACAGTTAAGTGTTAGTGAAGTCATATTCTTCTCCCTCTTGCTCTAGATAAGTCTCGTCTAGCACAAATAAAGGCGAGGCGGCGGTCGAGCATCGGTGTCCGGGGCTCCCCAGAGACAAACTCTCTCATCCGCTTCATGGCACAACAGAGAATGAAGACTCCACCAACTAACCTAACTCCAGAGGTGAGATGTTACTCAGGATACAGTTGAGCAAATCTTGCACCCATGTCGCATCATTTCAGAGTATGAGGCCATGTTCAGGTTAGTGTGGCTTTTGGTCAGCCCTGTGTGATCAATATTAAAGCTGAGTTATATTTCTGATACTGTCTGTGACTGCGCAGCATACTTTGTCAGACACACACAAGGACTGTCACTGCCTCAACTACATACAATTCTTAATGCATACTGATCTTGCTTTCAACAAAACTTTTTCTTGATTCAGCCCCTTGAATCCAGCACCAAATACACGCACTTTATTTATGCATAGGTACACTGTAAGATATTGATATTTTTAAAGTCTATTTAACCTAACAATTATTAAATAAATATTTACTGTGAAACATGCACTGGTGTCCTCTCTGTTTGCAATTATATCATGTATAAAAATAGTAATTGGTTTTTGTAAACAAAACCCTGTTAAAACATGTACTACATCATGTCAGCTTCAGTAAATTTATTATCATAGCCTGACCTGAGGGGAGTGAGGCTATAATATCTGACTTGTCTCACACACAGTTGCTTATGTAAGATTACTGGTATTGTGTCCAGATATAGCACTGAGCTGTGTGCAGCCATGATCAGAGTCTGTGAAGCACACTCAAGAAGTGTATATATCGAGACTTGCTGTCTGCATCAACATTAGCCTAATACAGTAAAAGAACAGACAAGAAGAGAAGTGATGGGCCTCTTGCTGTGACTGTTAACTAAAGCAATATTATGTACAGGGGATTGCTGTGACACTGAAAATCCAAGTTTGGCAGCCCACAATACACATTCTCACTGAATAATGTAATGTGAAAAAAAAATATTTCTACTTCAAGGATATGAAATTAAAAAAAAAAAATTAACTGAAGATTTCTCCACCAACACACAGGCTGTTCTGAAGTGGTCAGAACTTGTACAATTATATCTTCTCAAATGAATATTTTTATATTTCCACATGTCAATGAGTGTCGCAGAATGTTTAGCTTAATTAACCTATGTTATACACTATATGTTGTTATAAAGAAATAACTTGAATCTATACGCAGGGCATTACTCAGCCTCACTCATGTACAGCAGTATGTACGCACACATTTAAAACTATGTAATGAAATCCAGAGAAAACAACAGACCCCTCGCTTAGTAATATCAAACAATACAAAGTAGAGCTAGACCAGTTAATTTTTAAATTATATAATTAGAGGACAATGGGTTTACCTGAGAAATTATAATTGTACATGTCACTTTTCAAGTTCACTTTTCTCTTGGAGAATTCTTCAGTTAAATAAAATTTTTGTCAAATGATCCTTGTTGAAGTAGAAATATCATAGTTTAATACAATACACTAGTCAGTATTACTCAATGAAAAGACTGTGCATTACTTTAAAGCAAGCGGAGCCTCCCTGGTGGCGTCTCTGTCATTAAAACTCAGTGTGAGGGAATAAACAGGATGAAACAAATATTTTGCCCACCCCAAAACAAGCCTTGACCAGATCAATGTGAAGAGAAAGGTCAAACTACGTGACATTGTAATAATGCTTGTTTCTTCTTTTTGGTAGGCCAGTATACAGAGTGCTACATTAGTCAAAATGACTAGAAACAAAAGCATGAACAAGCTTTTCAGCATCTTGTTGGCTCAGTAGAGGTTTTATCTTTGCAATGTTGCACAAATGATAAAATATGTTTTGGCCGAATAATTAAAATGGGCCGTAAAATCGAGATCAGAATGTAAAATGACACCAAGGTTTCTTACTTGTGTTAATGTCTGTGAGGCCAGATGTCCCAGTTTAGCAAGAACAAGGTCTCTTATTTTTTGGGCCAACTAGGAGGATCTCAGTCTTATCTTCATTTAGCCATATGATGATGACAGAGCTGTGCATATTTGGAACATAGTGAGTCTATCGTGGACAGCACAGAAGGGTATTATGCTGCAGAAGTGGTTTAAGAAGTTTCTGTGGACTTTTTGTCCTTTCTTCCACCGTGAAAACCAATTCTCCAGTCTGCAGGTGGTGAGTCTGATACTAAAGAGATACATTTTCAGTCATATTTCACTTGAAGGAAAGATTTCTTTTATTCTTGTGTGAATGGTAATGACAGAATATTCTCAAGGTGCTTTACTAACCATAATATTCCTGGATTTTGTGTGTGTGTGTGTGTGTGTGTGTGTGTGTGTGTGTGTGTGTGTGAGATATATGTGCTGCCTCTCAGTAATACTACTGTAATTTCATAAGTGTATGACTTGTCAAGCTGTATCACTGAGCATATATGTTGTTTTTTTTTTGTTTTGTTTTTTTTTTGCTGTCTCAACTCTCAGTGTGTCAGAAGTAGCCCCTTCCCTCCCCGGGTCACTTCCACACTGAGGCAGAAGATGGCCTCCTTCCAGAGCCTGATGGATATGGAGGAGAGTGAGGTCTGTGATCCGATGCCAAGGCAGGACAGAAACATTGGAGGATGCATCAAGACAAGAGATTATCTGTCTGGTGAGGCTGCCTCATTGCCACAGGATTAATAGTTTCATCTCTTGAAGAGGATCTATGCCAGTAGGATTTCTTTATGATGTCTGGAGGCACCGTTCAAAGCAGTGGATTAATGCGTAGCACAGTTTAGGCCCGACTCTGACAACAGTCATTTCTTTTAAGCTTGGTCAGCCTCCTAAATGAGCCAGTTTCTGAGCTGTTTGTTGCTGGAATGAGACTGTATCTCCATTCCTTTGATCAAGTTTGTTTTAAGCTTTTTCCAGCTATTTATGTTTATTTGATGTGTGATATTTTATTTCTATTTGGCTTAGGTGTCCCCAAGTCCCTTTTGTTTTTGAATGTTTATCTAACGTTCCTTTTTAATAGGTATTCTTTTTTCCTCTTAGATGAGAGCAGCATTGATGGAGGCAAGGAAAACCACCCTCCAATGATGATGCCCACACCCAAAAAGAGGAGGTGTCTGGGCCCCCTGGAAGCCTGCGAGGTGCAGATTAGAGAGGCCAGCACTCCTATCCTCCACTTCAGTTTGAAGGAGCAGGAGGTACACTAACTCTGACCATGTACTGACTTGACTGCTGTAAATAATTTAACTAAAAGGTTTTACTTCTCTGTACTTGGCTACCGTTGAATCCACCGATTATTTTTAACTCTTCTATTAATGGTAGATGTCAGTGCTAGACAGGTCTTTTCGACTACAAGCATCAAAGAAGAGAAAAACAGCACTCTCAAACCAAGTTTGATTTTAAGTCCTGGGTATTGAGATTTATTTATTTACAAATGCATGTTTTTTGTCTTTGGTTTTATGAACTTGGAGCTTTTGCGTGCATTTTGTGAAGAGCAATATCAGGTTTTAAATATTCTGTATCACTGAAAACACTAAAGCAGCAATTTAACAAATTCATTATATTCTGTGCCCATGAGAGAAGTGTTCTTGCTGTTGTGGTGCAGTGCATCAGAATGAAAGCAGCGGGAATTCCTTTATCATGTCCACAGGAGGCTGACGAACCAGTGACACAGGTTTTGACACAAGAACCACTGCCATCCAAAGAGACTGTGGAAGAGGCCCAAGCTGTGCTTATTTCCCCAGCCCTACATGATGACTTTGAGGGCTGTTCCCCCACTAAGAAACAACAGGTTTGGTCTTAATACAGACACACACGCACACACACAAATGGGGTGTAGAGAAAATGGGAGAAAGAGAAAATGGGAAAAAAAAACACACAGCTAAAACCAGTTAAGAGTTGTTGTGTAATTGACAGCACAACCAGACTCAGTAAGAATTCAAGCAGAAAACTGCCAAAGTGTAGTGATATTTGCAACGTTAACTAATGAAGCTCACAGTTTTCTGAATGAATTGTGTGCCGCCAAGCGGAGCCAAACTATGACCATCTCCTCCTTTAACCAAGAGCTGTCTTGCCTGAAAGTACTCAACATGTGTGGTCATGCTAGCAACAGGGAGTGTCATTTCTAAAAATGTTACTAGATTTAGTTCAGGGCACTCTGTGATTGTTGTGGTTTTTTTGCCCTGCTACATTAATGCTCTTGCTTTCATCTAAGATATAACAGCCTGAGCCATCTGATCTGCTTTTGTTTGACCATATTGGAGCTGTATTTGTGCATTAAGAGAACATTTCCTGTGATTGGTATATTTTGAAAACACATTTTCCACCAGAGGACCACTGGTAAGCATTTATTTTGAAGCAGCTGTAGGACAAGTGGTTTATTTGTCAGAGGTCAGCACTGATTGCTGTGTGGGAAAAACTGGTCGGCAAAGCAAAATGTTTCACTTTAAAACAGGTGCACCTCCACTGAGTGAACTGGGAATCTGATAAAGTGACACGAATGTATGAACTGAGAAAGCAGCACTCTAGGCTAGGCCATAGTACTGAGGATGTGTGTTTTTGCACTATCTCGCTTGATAAGAGTAACATTTTCAGCTCCTCTTTTGTCAGCAGATCTGTTTTAAAGGAACAGCTCGACATTTTGGGAAACACACTTCTTCAAAACGGGGACATGACTCGCCTGGCTCTGTCTAAAGTTATAAAATTCAGCCTACCTGCACCTCTGAAGCTGATTAATCAACACATTTTATCTTTTTTGTTTAATCCATACACAAACAGAGCTATGGAACTTGCGGTTTTACAAGGAGTTATGTCTTAGAACTTTTTCTTGACTCATCACAGTAATTTCCTTGAGTCTCTGCAGATTGCTTGGTAACCTCAAGGTGATGCCAAAACATGAAGGAGTCACTGCACCTGGCAAAGATATAGTTCATGGGTGTGGGATTGCTGCTCTCATCTAACTCTCAACAAGAAAGTGAATAAGTGTATTTTCCAAAATGTTGAATCTTACCTTTTAAATAAACCTTAGCAAGGAAGAAATGCAACGAAAACATCTATAGTGAGCTTCATTAGATGAATGGACTAAATCATTTCACAGACAGTATACTTTCTCCAATACTGCCTAAACTACTGGAGCACAAGGGGTTATGCACTAATCCGATACCAAATAATATATTGATAAACTTGATAGTTTCACACCCAAATAAAACAGCAATTTTCCCAGAAATCAAGCGTAACAGTAGCTGTTGGACGAGGTCACTAATAGGTGGACCGTCCAGACCCAGTTTGGTGTCCTATCCGGATCCAGAACTATAACCTATAAATTGAGAATTTATTACATTTTGAGTGCATGCGCGCGCGCACACACACACGCACGCACGCACGCGCGCGCGCACACACACACACACACACAGTGAGACAAGATGAGAGACAGTTGGTTGTTTATTATAAAAATGGCAGAGAGTGTTAACATGGAGTTAATGGAGTTAACAAAAAATAAGAAAAAGGGAAACTCAAGATAGACTTTTTTCACTACTATTTTTTTTTTTTTAATTAAGCACTTTATTTTTCAAAAGCTCTCTGTTATGTACTTATCACTAATTACAGTGCTTGTTTTCCTTGTAATGAGAAAAGAACATTTAATTATTATTAGAGTACAGTGTTAAGACAACTAGTGTAAGAATTGTTGTTTTATTAATGTTCCTACACACACACACACACACACACACACACACACACACACACAAACACAAATACTCACACACAGTGAAGTAATGTTGAGTATGGAGGGACGGTCACTAATGGTGGTTACATACTGTGGCTCCAAAAACTTTGTACAAGTTTGAAGAGATCCTCGGTGTATGACATCTTGCAGTAGTAGGCTGTGAAATTTTTAAAATTCTTTTTGCATATGTTGTCAAGTAAGAAAAGACCCACGATGAACACTGTAAGTGAACGATTTGATTACTGCAAGCAAATGATTTAAACAGTATTTTTACAGGAATGACTCTGTCTCAAGCTTTTTGATTCATGTAAGCAGTTGGTCAGTGTGTTGATCACTATGTGCGACACCGCTCATAGTGATCACAGTTACAGTGCATTCATACATTCATGGGCATTCATGTTTTTGTTCATGTTTTACAAAGGGTTTAACCTGAGCCATATAACAATGACAGCAGTGTTATCACATCCATACAGGGTTAGATGTATACAGCTGTTTAAATGTTTTTTTACACATTGGTATCAGGCCGACACTCGGTATCGGCCAGTACGCAAGTTCAGGTATCGGAATCGGTATCGCTAACGGAAAAAAATGGTATCGGAACAAAAAATAGATGCTGGTATCAGATATATTTCAGTGACACTTCCTCTGCGTAACAACCTGTTTTTTGAAGCTCCTCAACCTACAGTCCAACAGAATGTGGGAGCTAATGAATTCTCTGTCAACAGGATGGTGCCTTTGAACTACAAAGCCCCAGCCAACCGCCACCTGATGATCCTGCAGTAGCTTCTCCAGCTCACCCTGCCTCCCCCGTCTACATCCCCTCTGTCCCTTCTCTGCTGGAGACGAAGCCTACAGGTAAACACACACTGTTCTCTGTGGCCGTGTTAGAGTAACTGGACTTTTATCTGCTTTAGCTTTTGAGGCTAGGCTAGATGCTGTGTATCCAGGCTCCGTACCGGGAGAGTGTCCAAGTTGTATTTGTAGAGAGGAAATTCACCAACAACCTTTTGAGTTTTCCATGTTGGAGAACACCTTATGTCTTTTTAGGTAGTGTCAATGCAATGTTTTTGTGATCTTTCAATATCTTTCTGCTAATACAGCATAGAAATATGGTTTAGAACTGTAGGCTCTTCACTTTCCAATCCTCTTTCTTGTGAGATCGTATGCAACTCAGCCCATCAGTCCATCAACTCTCTGTGGAACTCAGGAAATCCTTAGGACCTCCCTGTTACCTTAGAAACACTGCAGTTTTTATTCAGTCGACTGGAGAGGCTTGAAAAATGGAGCAAACGTTTATAGCTACTGAAGTTGTTGCAGCAGTTTTACAAAGCAGCGATGGGAATGTGTTGTAATGCTCATTTTTCGTTTGCACGCATCACATCATGTTTGATATGGAATAGGAAGTAATTATTCAGTCCAATTTTATCTCAGTCCCTCTAACATATGGTGAAAGTAAAGTGACAATAAAAGAGTTATATGACCAAGATTAATTTTATGCATTTATCGTACATTTCATCTTTTAGGAAGACTTTGGTAAACCCATTTCAAACACCAAAACAGTTCATCCACCAGAGATTTGAAGAATTTCAAAAATCTGTCTTTGACTTTTCAGCCTTTGGGCCAAATTATGTCTTTACACAGTGCTCTAGGAAATTTGAATGAAACCCTCAGGTATTAAGTTATATGCCGGTGCCTTTTAAAAGGTGAATTTAAGAAATTATGTAAAAAATAAACCAAGAAATGACTTGTGTCTTTTACTATTTTCTTGTCTAATTGGCATGAAAATACCTTAAAACCTTAGATCTATGTTGATTTAACTTTCATAACTTTTGTGAGATGTTTGGGAGTTTTACTAATTATTAATGAAACACCAAGCACCATGTCTACAGTCTTAAGAGTTTATAGTATAGAAACTCTACTTTGTGCCTCTACATAAATGAATAAATGGCTTAGTTGTGCAATCAAGGTTTTCTTTTCTGTGCAGGGGAGGATGACTCCACTGGAATGTCCTCAGTTAAGAAGAAAAAGAGGGTGCGCTTTGGAGGTCCGCTCTCTCCTGAGTTCTTTGATAAGAACCTGCCCCCCAGCACCCCACTACAGAAGGGGGGCACACCGGCTCGAGCACCCACACCAGGTCAGGGCTTACAGCTGCGCTCATTGCTCAAGACGCCACAGAGGAGTGAATCCCAGACCCCGCAAGCTCAGCCAGACCTCAGCAGCCCCACCATGTTTGGTGCCTCCCCAACACTTGCAATGCCTCGCCGCTGCAGAATGCAGCTTGTGGGAGAGGACAGTGAGGAGACGGTTGGAAAGGTAGACAAGACGCCGGGATTGTTTTGATTGAACATTAAAAAAAATAATGGATACTAGGGCTGTCCCAAACGATTATTCTTTAAACGATTAATCTAGCGATTATTTTTTCGATTATTCGACTAATCTAACGATTATTTTTTTATTAACCTAACAGTAATTTTATTGCAATTATTTTCCATTTATTCATTTAATATAACAATTTGCCCTGTCCAACACACACAATTGAAGATGCACTTTGCAGAGTCTGCAGACTACCGCACTGTAGGTGTCAAGATTAAAGTATTCCCAAACTTTGGAGGACCGTGTGCGAGCCTTTTTTGCCGCGTGTTGCTCCACACGCTCCGTCGTACTGCTGGTAGACGCCGCCATGTTGTTCAAATAGATTACACAGACGCAAATCATTCACGTAGTCAATGACTTCAATTACGTCACCGCGTTGTCCCAGCCCTTGCGCTGCGCTTGTATCCGGGTAAACCAAAGACGATGGATATAAACGGTCCCATTAGAAAGTTCCGGGTTTGTTCTATGAACATTTACCCTGTGTGGTTTTACACGACGCGTCGACACTAAAATTCCACGTCAAATAATTTTTATAATCGACAACGTCGATTACATCGGATAATCGTCCCAGCCCTAATGGATACAACATTGAACGTTTACACAGAGATAACCTGGACAGTCAGGCAGCACACAGCCACAAACATCCAGGAAACTACAGCAAATTAGATGTTTGTTAGTAGTCCTGACACATGTATCTATGTTTTGTGGTTTTTGTTTAGCCAATGCAGTTTTTTCTCTTAGTATACTTGTAAGTTATTGAATATACAGTATCTATAAGTTGTATTGTTGATAATTATACGTGACTGAGAAGAACCAGGATATGAGCCACTATCTTTAGATTTCACATGTTGAATTCATCATCACTAAGCAACATTGTTTTTCTTTATTTTCTGGTCCTAGATTGTTTTCCCCTCAATGGAGGAGATTGACTCTGCAGTGACAAGTGGTGCAGGTTGGTTATTACAGTTTCACCATGAGAGTTACAGTTTATTGTCTCCCATAAAATGTAATTAAACTCTGTATGATAACAGCTCTTCCTGCATGTTCAAATTTCAGAATATATGTGGGACTCCCAGCCGTTGAACTTAAACACTGCTTTCCATGAGGAGGCTATTTCTCTGAGAGAAACAGGTGAAATGCCTTCTTGATGTTTTTTTCTTTTCATTGTCACTTAACTTCATCCCTTCGCCCCTTCTCTGTCTCGTCCTGTCTCCTGACAAATCCAGGAGTGTTGAGTTATAAGGCTTATCAGTAATGACATTCAAATTTGTAGCATTGTTACAGCCAAGCTCTTAGACTGCAACAAAAAATGGGAGACACAGGTATACAAAGTAACAAACTAATTTATTTACAACAAAATGATCAAAACAAACACAAAATGGAACTGGGAGTATCTGTAAAGTCAGTCATGTAGAGAGTGGCTTAACTTGCAACTAAGCAGAGGGGACATCACACCGTGTAGCTCAAACAGCTCAGGTTTCTCATCTAGAGGTCAGCGTAAGGAAAAAAGCCCGTTGCCAGTCAGCAAGTGTAGAAACGGGGATAGTGGTGGTTAAAATGATAAATACGGTAAACCACATTTTGCAAGAATCAAGGGAGTACCATACTTTTATCATTTTGATTCAGTTACACTTAGTTTAATAGTTTAATAATGTTACCTACAGGTTAAGTCACAAACTGTTAATCCTGTATTTTTCCTCAGAGTCTGAGATTAAACCCAGCACAACCTCCATCATGGACGTCCTGGATGAGCCTGCCTCCTTGCCTGAAAATGAAAAGCAACCTGAAGCTCCAGCCCCAGTTCCAGCCAGATCCAGCAACCGAAGGAAAAAGGTCTGCCCTCATTTTTTTTTTTTTAAACTATTTTCATGGATAGGTCAATGGTCAATGTGGTCATTTAAGATATACTGTATATATTAAGATATATTTTTAGCGACACGCAGCTTACCATTTCTGCTGTTACCGTACTGCTGTTAATATTTCCAAAGTAATTATTTCTATTCTCTATAGAACCTCATACTGTGAAATTTCCATTTTATGCACCAAAAACTTCTAAACTTCTGTCTTAGCAGCAAGAACCAGAGCATGAATCTACCGGTGAGGCTCCAGCTCGCTCCAGCAGTCGAAAGAGAAAGGTCTGCTCTTACCACAAACTGCTCTCAGCTTGATCTCACTTGCAGAAATATCATTTTACCAGACAAGGATTGTCTTTCTCAATAATTTAAGGGTCATAACATGCTCCTATCTAATCTACTGTTTAATTCCACTGGATCTGAACTTAATCAAATCTGAGGATATCCACTTTGTGTGTGTGTGTGCGTGAGTGTGTGAGAGTGTGGCACAGACATCCTCTATGTAACATATCCTTATGCCAACTCTTTGCTCCCCCAGCAACCAGAGGAGAATGAACCTGCGAAGAGGTCGACACGCTCTGCTGCCAAGTCGGCCGCCGGGAAGATGAAGGTGAGTTGGCGGAGTCTGCTCGTTTGATTTCTCTTTACACCACTTCACCCGGGGATCTGTAGACCTGTCTTTCTGGGAGGCAGTCGGGGGCTGATGGCTGCACATTCTGACTACAACTTACTTTGTCTGAGTTAAGGAAAGGATCTATGTGTATGTACGTTTACATGTTCCTACACCACTGCAGATTTATCTTATTTTTCACATGGTCATAATGAAATATTAAAGTAAATCATAACAATGTGCCACGTGGTGCATGGGTCGGGAGCCTGCTGTTTTATTATGACCCATGTAGTCATGTTAAAGGACAAGGCTGCTGATATGTTCTATTTAGTGTTTTTGTTATTGTCATGAAATCCTGTGAAAAGGCCCAAACCAAAGTGTGTGTCCATCTGAGTGGCTCTCAGGCCTGAGCCATTCATTCCTACTGAAGATGTAAACATCATTAAAAAAAAAAAAAAAAATTTAAAAAGCCATGAAACAGTTGGGACTAATTAGACTTGGAGAGGACATCAGTAGTGTGTCAATGTGGCCAGGACACATTTGTGTTCACACTGCTAAAAGAATGTGGCCTGAGTGATCAGATCTCAAATATGTCCTCAATGTGTGTGTTCACACCTCTACTTAGAGCTGACAACTTGTGATCAGATCACCTGAGACAGATGTTAATACCAGGTCAGAACAGGGCCAGTAACTCTGACAGAGGTAAATGGTGAATTCCTAGATTTTTATTTTTTTTATTTTTTTATTTTCAGTGGCTGATTTGATGCACTAGTGAGTGTTTACAGCTCCACAATGGAGCATGTAGGATTAACTCTACGATTCATGGACATCATGTTCATCATCATAATGAACATGGGTACTTTAGTTGCGTCATAATGAAGGAACATGTCTCTCAGTACGATGGTGTGGCTCACCAATGTGTTTGTAGTAGTTTTTCAACACTGAAGCTCCATGGCACAGAGGAATAAGATGAATCAGGTTTTGGATGCACACACAGTACATTCACTCCTGGTTTTACTGTTTTTATGAAATTTGTTGACAATAATAACACTAGAGAATATCACCAGACTTGGGTTTTGAAGCCCATTTGGACAAGATTAATATGAGGTAGTTCGTGGTTGACAGTACATTCCCCAATGCATCAAACCAGTTATTTGAAGGCAGTCTGCAGTCTTGATAGCTGTTGCTATCTTGACTGTGGCTCACATTACAACAGTCAATTTACTGGGCTTGTAGTGTCTGCCTCTTCTAACAGCTTTTGTGGTTTTTCTTTTTTTCTTCGTACATTCAGGTGCTCCATCAGGGCTGTGTATCAGTCTAAATGGATACCTATCCATCAGATTAACCAAACACATTTGGTTTGGTTGCAGAGCTGATGAAATTTAATTAAAGCAAAGGTGTCATTCAGATGAGACTTAAATTATTAGAGGACAAACCAAAAAGGAGAAATTTCCCAATAGCCTGTGCAGTATAAAGTCACCTTGGCTCCCATAGAGAAGTAAATCCCTTAAATGAAATAGTTTTATTTACTGTTGTGTTGTTTATGTGATATCATAAATATATTGTTATTAATAATTTATTCAGCAATCCCTGACCTCTGACAACAGCACTTCTCCAATTACCCACCAAAACTCTCACTATAAATAATAGAGCCCAATATATTAGGGAGTAAATATATATATATATATATATATATATATAAACGGTTGTGAAAAAGATATGTAATGAAAGCAGGATATTTTACAATTTAACAATAAATTTTATTGTCCAAAATGACATCAGAGCACTAAAATGGTAAACTTCACTGGGAATTAAATAAAATGACTATAAATAAAAAACATAACAACAAATATGTATATTTTATATATATATATATATATATATATATATATTTAACTTAAATGAAAACAAAGGATCAAATATACATAAAATGCCGCCTATATAACTTGACTTGACCCGAGTATTTCCACTGCATTATTGCTTCTTAATAAAGTTTTTCATATCGGCGCATGTCGGAGAATACATACACCGATACCGATATATCTGTGATAGGCCAATAAATTGGTCGGGCTCTAAGAACTAACATTGTTTACTCATTTGTTGACGATGATAAGAATCAGTTCAGTATAATCTCATTCACTGATAACCAGTGTACTGTTGATTAGCTGTACACTCCATCATATCACCAGCTAATAAAACATTTTCAGTAGAAAGAGTAGAGACGTGCTCATGATGCAGATTGTTTCCACAGGTGACCTCCACAGCTGCACGTCGGTGGAACAGGGACGTGGACCGCTCCCTGTATGGCTCTAGGGAATACGCCTCCAAGAACCCCACCCTGAGTCCCATCACCGAGAAACTGTCCTTCATCAGTCAGTCTCCAGCAGCACAGCAGACTCCCTCCATGAGCTGCACAGAACATGAAGGCAATAACAAACTTTGTTTCTTTGCTGTTGGGAGGGAAACATGTTGTAATCCCTGTATTTCTTCTCCTATATACAGTTTTCCATAATTTGCAACACTTCAAAAACTATGGTCATCAGTGTGTCTCTCATTTCTTCCAACAGCCACAAATCCAGAGACCCAGATGAACCCTGAAATGGATAACGACACTCAAATGACAGGTGACCTCACTGTGACACACGCCTTGGAAAATCCTTTAGAAAATTCAGTCACATGTCCCAACTCCAGTACAGAAAGCACCACAGGGAGAGGCAGGAGGCTGTCAGGGCAGAGGGTCAGAGGGAGAAGACTGAAAAGGAAGGTCAGTGTTGGCGACTGTGACCTGCTCAGAGAGGAGCCTCAGGACCAGACTGAAGGAAAGACAGAGGAGCACTGTGAAGACCAAACCACTACAAAGCTTGAGGCATCAAGAGAAACCCAGCTGAACCACACTGTACCTGAACAGGGAGGTGTTGCCATTGAACTTAATGCCAGTACACCAAGCACAGACTCAGACAGGAAATCAGAATGTCATGCTGGTCTGAATGTCTGCCCATCTCCAGGAGAAGAACTCGACTACACTTTGAATCTGCCAGCAGAGGTAACAAAAAGGAAAGCCAAACAGAGCAGGAGGAGCTCTGTAAACAGCCCAGCCCTACAGGAGCAGGGGGACCAGGTGGAGGAGCATCAAAAGAGCCATGAGGTGGAGCAAAACGGACAGGGAGACCAAGCAATGAGCGATCATGAAAACAAGAGCAGGTCGAGCTCAGACAGCCAGGGAGAGGAGGGAGTAGCTCATTTGGACCTGGCCCCCTGGCAAGCTGACTTTAATTTTGAAGATGTGTTCAAACCTGTCGCCACTAGAGGGCAGCGCTCTGTACGCCGCAGTCTGAGGAACCAGAGCAACAGCAACAGCAGTGCAGGTCTTGCCTGGCTGCCTCGGACCTCTCCTGACTCTGTCAAAGAGGCCCGCAGGAGGACCCGGGGCCGGCGGCTCAGTGCTGCTCCACCCGTCCAACCTTCAGTCTCTGAGGAGACACAAGACGATGCTTCATGAGACTGTAAATTGATCAGATGGGAGACTGTGTTTATTTGAATGAACTGAGATTAAAGGGAGATAAGTGATGCGTTCATCACTCTGTCATACATGCCTAACCAGCCTGTTTTCTTAAAATTAAATGGAATGATTTTTCAACGAAGGAGCTGATTGCTTAACATTATCTAAAACCTTAATGCTTTTGTTCTGCCTGAATTATTAGAGCTGACCGATAATTTCTTGCCAGATTCCACGAGGTAACCAAGTTAGTCAATACACACTGAGAGCCCAGTCGTGTCTGTTGACCACCTCCTAATCAATATCCAACCACTCAGCTGGTAATCACAGTGCATCTTCAGTCTCCCTCTCCAAAGTCACTGGATCGAGCATCTCCAAATCAATATCTACTCTTTGTGGATGGATGGGGATGGCTGGGGGAGGGGAGAGTGAATCTGCCTCACACACAGAAATCAACTTAATAGGCTCAAATAATTCTCTTTATTTGTGGCAGCTGGAGTTTGTTTTGTTTTTTTCTTCTTCCAGTGACCATTGATACTGTTGACATACAGAAAGATGTCAGAAGACGTCCCTGTCTCATTGTGGTATCTGAACTTTTAATGGATGGTCTTAATACCCTGCTGATAATTAATAGTGATAGCCATACATTGCATCAAGTTAAATATGAGTTGATGTTCTCAATGGGTTTCCAGAAATGTGTACCTTGCTAGACTGATAAAATAAATACTTTGGTTGCGTTCCATCACACCAAGCTGTGTTCATTTAAACAGATGATTAAGACTCATTGGATAAGAATTCATCCAGATAATAAAACAGCCGCTATCTCCACAAATGTGATGTTCCAGCTGTGTGGTCGCTTCAGTTCCAGTTACAGCAGCTTTCCTTTCACATTAACCAGAACCTTTGGCCATAACTGAGTGAATCGCTGCATAAATTACTATCCTGATCTACATTTTGAACACAGCCAAATGTCTGGAAGTAAATTGACCTCTAACCTCAGATTCCACCAGTTACAGATTCAAATCAGCCCCTCTTTACTGGCTCCATCCATCTGTCGGGAAGGAACGAAGAGAGCAGTAACAAATTGAGTTTCAGATTCAGTTCACATAGGAAAATTGGCTTCCAGAATGATGCATGGCCGTAATCTATCCATCACTGGGTAATTGACTCCCTCCTTTTACATCAAGTCAGAGTTAACTTGGCTGAAGGACACCAGAGGTTTGTGACTCCTAGTGTGTGTGTGCGCCAAGGTCTCTTCTTTATTCCCATGGAAGAGGGATGGACAGAATCACAAAGCCAGTAATGCAGTGCTGTGCAGACGCAGTGGGGCCACGCTGCCATCTGGTGGCGGCTGTCGGGAGTTGCACATAGCTAGTTATTCAGCTGTCAACTTAATCAATTATGAGGAGATAAAAGAAGTCACAAGAACTGATGTTATCTCACGCGGAAGAGGGAATAATTTAGAAGCACATTCATTTGTGTGAAAAGCATTTCTTGTGTGCTACTGCTGAGCCCTTAAGGCTTGTGTGTTTCTTCCCACTGCATCATGTTATGCTGCTCGTCCTATGACTGTGCTCTTCCCTTGTCTGATTTTAAAACTTAATTGGGAACATCTTAAGTGCGCAGCCAAACTACTGCACCTCTATAGAAGTGGGTGTGGGGTGTTTTTTCTGAGTGTGAGTGGGCGGGAGAGTGTGTGTGTGTGTGTGTGTGTGTGTGTGTGTGTGTGTGTGTGTGTGTGTGTGTGACGAGAGAGGGGTGTGAAGCCGAGTCCCCTGTCCCTGGCAGACGGGCATACTGAAGACGGCTTAACACAAGAACAATGGGGTCCTTTGACCAAAACGACGCCCCCAAGACATGTGGCCTCCTATCACCGTGGCAACCCCCCATGGGATAGGGAGCGGGCTGACAGCTGGAGAGGAGGACTTACAAAAATGGAGTCCATTTCTTTCCACTGAAGCTCCCTGACTCTATATCTTTTCCCTCTTCTCCCTGTCTTCCTCTACTCCAGGCCCTTATGAATGTGGGTAACATCTCATTTTACAGCTTCGTGTGATTGACTTTATGGACTCGACTCACGACCTACAATTCCTCCACACACAAAAAAAACAGTCAAAGAGACAACAACAAATCAGGTCTTTATGGGTTGTGGTGGCTGTCAGTAATAAGAGAGCATTGATCTCATTGACAAATATAGGGCTGAGCCACAAGATTTCACACTCACTGTACACTTGATTTTACGCCTCATTTTAAAACAGATGAGCACTTTCTGTACAGACACAAAGAGGCATAATGAGTTATTTGTACTTCCAGATTTAGAGACTTTCGTCTTTCAATTAGTTAATTAGTAGCTGAATGGTATTAAGTTGTCCCGCTGCCTCAGTCCTTTCTGTGCTCTGTGCTGTGAGCCCTCTATTATTGATGCTGAGAGGCGCACTCTGTAAGCCCTGCACAGCTCTCCTATGGAGCTGAAGACAGCAGGAGGAGGGCAACAAAACAAAGGCAGGACAACAACAAGAGACCCTCTAGCTTCTCTGTTTGGTTTGCTGTGCCACCGTGTCTGCATGCTACAGCTACAGCTTTTCTGTGGGTGTCTCATCACTGCAACTAACAATTATTTTCTTCACAGATTAATCTGCAGATTATTTTGTCACTTAATTGATTCAATTCCAAGGTGATGTCTTCAAACCAACAGTTCAATATAGCTGCTGACTAATTTTCTGTAGATCGATTAATTGATTACTGGACAGGTTGTTGCAGCTCTCATTATCACAGAGTCATTTGTAACGGTTGTTGTTTTTCTTTCTTTAATCTTTTCTTGCTTATACCAAAAAAATAAATCCATGATTTCAATGATCAAGATTGCCAGTGCAGGTGAGTTTTCAGACGGTAAACATCTTCATTGAGAGTTATTCAACCTTGTAGCAGCAATATTTATTAAATTTTTGTTTTTCTGTACATTGTATTTTGGATATAGTCATTCTATACACAAAACTCAAGCTTTTTGGATTTGGCTTAATAGATATTTTCATTTAGCCTTCAATGCTGCAGACCTCCAATACAATACCTCCAACACTGCTGTAAAGAGCTTTGAATAAATGTATAGTGAACTGCTTTTTACAAGACGTGCTACAGTATGTGTGGTATTTAACATTAATACATTTATAAACCATGGTGTAGTGGTTAACACTGTTAACACCTCGCAGCAAGAAGGTTCTGGGTTTGAACCCTGCTTCGGTGTGGAGTTAGTATGTTCTCCAAATACAGGAACTTTCTCCTGTGATAAACTGGCGACCTGTCCAGGGTTTAACCCCACCCTCACCCTGTGTCAGCTGGGATTAACTCCTGTGACCCTCACAGGATGGATGGACATTTATATACTATCAATAAGCAAGATTATTGTCAGTCTTTATCCCTGTTACCTTGCCTTAGTTGAACCTGCATTTAGGGAATTATAAAGTCTGCCTCACATGTGTTTGGGAGTATAAAGTTGTATAAAGCCTTTTGTGGCTCCAGAGGGAGCTGTGTCTGATAAATTGCCTCAGCACTGGTTCGGGCTGAAGACTTCCAAGTTTGCAAATGAAAAGAATCTGGAGGTGTGGAGTTAGTAAGAAGTGAGTTCACCAGACCTCTGCAGCCCACTCCTCGTCTCTAGATAGAAAACACCTCTGACCAAATGACAGTCATCAGACAGACAGGCATTGTAGGTAACACTGGAGGCAGGTTTTGACAAAGAAGAATGTGTTAGATAAAAAAAAGTCAAGATGTTTGGCTCTGCTGCATTAATTTTGATCCTTCTCCCCTCTGTTAAGGCACAGTCATGCAGGTGAATGAAATCGCTCTGATAAAATCATATTGCTCAGATTAAAGGAAGAACCAACAAGTTTTAGTAAAGTGCTCTTCCACTTTGAGCCTGCAGAACAGCTTCAGTGCTGCTTGGCATATGTTCTACAAAACATCTGGAAATCTACTGAAGGGATTAACACAATTTTCTTCCGAAATATATTCTTAGTCTTGGAGGAATTATTTAATTGAGCTATAAATAAAGAGAATAAGAGAACTCTTACTGTGAAGCCACTTTGTGTTTTTACAAAGCGCTGTCACTGTCTCCATGTTTCTGCTTTATCTGTAAACACATGAAGAGGCCAGAGGAGGAAAAGGAGACAACTAGCAACATCCTGTTTGTGTCAGGAAGCAACAGGATTTATGGTAAATTGGATTTTTTTTTTTTACACTAAGACTAACAACACTGCAGCTATGTGGAGGATCCTAATTATCTTGACCACAGTCTTAATTGTATACGAAAATGATGTGCGTACTGTATGAATGTAATATGATTAATTGGACAATGATATATTAAATCTTTAAAAGGGTTGTATTTCATTTGAAAAGGGAAATTTCAACAGACATTCACTAATAGGTACATTATAAAAAAACAAGGATTATATTCAAATGTAAGAATAATCACATCCCATACTTAAAGATACAGTCAGAGTGAAACTAGAGGCCAAAGGGCAAACGCCTGTCAGTGGAACAGAGGACACAGACATCTGCCCAGTAACATACCTGAGCAAATCTCCACCACTCCTGGGCATGTCCGAACCTGAGTTACTCCTCACGGATACAATGTGGAAAACTTGGTCTTCACATGAGGAAAAGCTTGGATGTTAACTCTTCCAACATATTTACTCATCCTGAAACAAACGATTAGATTAATGTCTCTGTTTGAGCAACATCTCATATTTGTAGGAAACTTGGACTTTATTAAAATAGTCTGATGGTGAGCTAAAGTAGGAGGACAGCAGATGTTTCACTCAAGAAATCAACTTTACAGAAAATAACCATGAATCTAATGATCTATTATCTAATTTTCTACAATAAAAAAGAAAAACATGAAAAGAATCAATCTTCTGAGCTATTGAAAAGGAGGCTCTATCTAGGATTAAATGCATCATGTTCCCAACTGATTTTTTTTCTCTTAATAACAATTAAATTGTAGGCTATGTGATCAGAATTGATTTTGTGTTTTTCATCACCAGTTTTATTATTAAAGCTCAATATAATTATTATCCTTTTTATATCCACAGAGAGAGACTGAAAGTGTATAAAACATAATGAGAAAGTGGTGCATCAGAGACGTCCTGTGGGGTTTGAATTCATGTTCATATGAGTTTCCTCCACATTCCTGAATCATGTATTCCCTCTGGGCGTGGATATGAGCTATCCGTTTATCTGTGTGTTGTGTAACTGTGTTGTGGACCAGTGACCAGCTGTCCAGGGTGTTCTCTCCCCGCTGCCTGTTGCATGCTGGGAAATGTTCCAGGCCCACTCCCTTTAGAAGTAGGTATGAGGAAAAAGAAACATAAAAAAGAACAAACTTGTGCACTGCAGACTTCCACCATAAATGCTCAGATGTATCAACATCTTGTCTACTTGAGACACACTAGACCTTGGCGGCAGAGTCAGCTGAGCCAACATCATCAACACTGTGTGTCCAGGGAAAACAGGCCGTGTGGAAGACAAGAACAGTTTCTTGAAGAAGTCCCTGAGGAAGCTCTATCTTCAACTCTGTGTTCTACTCTGTGAGCATCGAGCTGAAGGCCACTGAAGGAAGCTACTACTTGTTCTGCAAAGGGCCCTCAGAGATTTGGTTTAAGAACTGCAACAAACTCGGTCCTGGTGAAGAAAAAAAAAAAAAAAAAGTTACACCCATAAACAAGGAATCTTTACATTTAAAAAAAAAACATTTATTTTGTAATTTACAGGAACAGAA